TTTGTTTTTGTTCCTGATCTACAGCATCCGCAGTTCTTTCGGTTTTTATTAAGAGGTTAAAAGGGGATGTGAGGAAAGATTTTTTATCCGGAGGGAATCTGGAATTCATTGCCTGCAAGGGCGGTAGAGGCAGAAACTCTCATAACATTGAAGAAGTATTTAGATGTACACTCGCAAAGCCAAGGCTATAGGCCAAGTGCTGGAAAATCGGGTTAGAAGAGATAGGTGGACTTGATGGGCTGAGCGGTCTGCTTCTACACTGTAAGGATTCTATGATAAAATGCTTACAATCCTAAATAGATTAAATCTTTAAAGATAAATTTAAAATAAATACAATACAAACATAATCATTGTAATGTAAATACAGTAGATGTCAAAATTACACTCACCACATTGACCACACTCCATCTAGTGGCACACATTGGTCAGTGCAGGCATAACCACCAGCACTGTCTGCCTTCTACCAGCAGGTGGTGCCCACAACCTCAGTGTGAAGTCAGGATAGAGAAAGGGCACTGTATGATGGGATTGGGAACAGGAGGAGGCAATGGGGGCAAAGGGCTTGAAAGCAGGCAGGCTACAGACCAGCAAGTCTGGGGCAGACAACATCAAACTGAAGCTCTTGACACTAAAAACAAACGTAGGGTCACAGTTTTATTGATAAAGCTGAAACAAAACAGCATGGAACTACTTCGGAGGAAGGGTCAGCAGACCCGAAACGTTAACTCCGATTTCTCTCCACAGATGCTGCCAGACCTGCTGAGCTTTTCCAGCAACTTCTGTTTTTGTTTCAGATTTCCAGCGTCCACGGTTCTTTCGGTTTTTTAAACAAAGAACAAGTCAACTTTAAATGGACACTTACAGAAATCTGTTCAGCTTTCAACAACTTCATTCCTTTTACAACCTTGTTAGTTTTCAAAGCTATTGACACACCTTCTAATATAGATAACACAGCACTTGGAGCATCGCCGAACACAAGATTGTTTATGCTCTGCACAAATCACCTCTCACCCCGTCAACATATCCTTCCATTCCTGTGTCATTTTCCTGACCTGCTCCTTGTGGGAATGATTTCCACATTCTACAGGGTAAAAGGAGTTCCTCCAGAAGTCTCTTCTGGATTTACTAATGACTGCTTTGCAATTAAAAAAGTCTCACGTTTTGGTTTCCTACACAAAAAATGAAAGTAAGACAGCACACACAACTGTTAGAGAGTCATACAGCACGGAAACAGACCCTTCGGTCCAACAAGTTCACACCGAACATAATCCTAAACTAGACTAGTCCCACCTGCCTGCTCCTGGCCCATATCCCTCCAAACCTTTCCTATTCAAATGTCTTTTAAACACTGTAATTGTACCCACATCCACCACTTTCTCCAGAAGTTCATTCCACACACGAACCAGTCTGTGTAAATAAAAAAGCTGACCCCCATATCTTTTTTAAAACTTCCTCCTTAAAAATATGGCCCCTGGTCTTGAAATCCCCCACTCTAGAAGAGTTTCCAAAACGAACAGAAGGCTCCCACCCACATTGGAAGTCCTCTGATAGTTGGGGTGGTAGATAGCTTAGCGACCCCTGATAGTAGCAGAAGGCTACAATAAAATGCAAAATACAAAACACATGCTGTTTTTTTGCTATTTGAGGCAAGGAGCAACACTGCCCAAGACAAGACGATGCCATCCTACATCCAGAACTGGCACATATGCCTCAAAATAGCATCTCACTTGGAGACCAGCACTTCCAACAGTGCATCACGTCGTTCACGCTTGGTCTAATTTTCCTCAAACTATTCCCGAGTTCCCTCCTTGACCAGTGCGGCGTGTCCGAGCTGTGCCAGAACAAGTCCCCTCTGCGTTCACCCGGCTCTGCCCGTTCTCGACACTCACCACCCAGGCAGGGGGCAGTAGCGAAAACCAAAATCCACCCCCCCCACCCCCGAGAGCAGTCGGTGCTGGTGGCCTGGTTTTCCAATTTACCAGCAACTGACCGTATCGGCCACACGTGGGCACCAAAGGGTCATGCAGCGTGGAGACATACCCTTTGATCCAAACAGTCCATAATCCCAACCAAACAAACAATTAACCCCAATGGCAGTCAGTCCTTTGTTTGATTAACTGCTGCTAAATTCACTGTCACACCGTCAGTTTGTTGCTCGGCTCTGTTCAGCTCGTCACTTAACGCTCTCGTGGTACGCAGGTAGCGTCCCTATCTCTGAGCCAGGAGCCCCAACCTCACGTTCCACCTGCTCCAGAGGTGTGTAATAACATCTCGGAGCGAGTTATTTGGAAAACATACTTACTGTCGCACTTTCAGCCAACAACCCCCTTCTGAGACACAGACTCCACAGACCTGCAGGTACAGGCCGGATGGGCTGATTGGTCTCTCTCTCTCTCCCCCCCTTCGCTGTGTGTACTATGCCTCGATCCTAAGCTGGTGTTTGCTGAAGTGCACGCTGCTGTCTCCTGGTGGGGCCGCAAGTGCCAACAAACTGGAGGGACCTCCTTTTGAAATCCTCGTTCCTTCTTAAAATAGTTGCCAAGGCCCAACTGAGATCGAGACTCAACTCGATCAGATTGCTGTCCTTAAAAAAAGTAAGGTCATTGGAAAGGGTTTCAACGTCCGACTGCAGCTAAAACATCAAACCTGAGGGTCAAGAGAGTCAGGTTCCTGGGATCGATGATCACCAACAATCTGTCCTGGTCTACTCACCTTGATGCAAGGGTTAAGAAAGCACAACAATGCCTCTACTTCCTCAGGAGGCTAAGGAAATTCAGCATGTCCGTAAAGACTCTTTCCAAATGCACCGTAGAAAGCATTCTATCCAGATGCATCACGGCTTGGTACGGTAACTGCTCTGCCCAAGACCGTAAGAAACTACAGAGGGTTGTGAACACAGCCCAGAACATCACACAAGTCAACCTTCCATCCATCGATTCCCACCTGCACTCCTCGCTGCCTCAGGAAGTCAGCTAACATAAATCAAAGCCCCCTCTCACCCCTCTCTTCCATCAGGCAGAAGCTTAAACACACATACCAACAGATTGAAGAACAGCTTCTTCCTCACTGTTACTAGACTTCTGATTGAACCTCTCAAATTCCAAATTTAGTGTTGGCTTTGCTCTTTGTGCACTTTCTCTGCAGCTGTAACATTCTATTCCTCGCTCCATTCTATTACCCTAATGCACTTTGTGTGGTGTCATCTCCCTGCACGGCACGCAAAACAAAACATTTCCCTGTACCTAGGTACATATGACATTAATAAATCAAATCAAACCAACCTTCCAAAACGTACATGAATCCACCACCACACCCCTTGCTCTCCCAGCTCTGGGATCACCGCAGCTTTCAAACCCCCAAAGCCTGACAACATTTGAGAAGCACTATTACAAATTCAGGGCTAAACAGCAGGGTAAGTGAAAGTTGCCATTGCCATCCCTCTAGATATTGTGCACCTCTGGAGCAGGTGGGACTTGAACCTAGGTCTCCAGGTTCAGAGGAAGGGACGCCTCTACTGTGTCACAAAAGCCCCAGTTACCATCTCTTTACCGTAAATCAGTTTTAACAGCTACATTAAAACTAATCTCGGAGAAATCTATAGAATTTTAACAGGACGAGACACAGTAGACCCAGGAAGGATGTCCCTATTGATTGTGGGCGGGGGGAAGATCCAGAACCGGGGGTCACAGGGCGGGCCATTTAGGACTAAGATGATGAGAAACCCAGGGAGTTGGGAGCCTGTGGAATTCTCTCCCACAGAAAGCAGTGGAGGTCAAAACAATGAACGTTTTCAAGAAGGAGTTAGATACAGTTCTTAAAGCTAAAGGGATCAAAAAAGGTACAGAGTTGGTCAATCAGCTGTGATCGTATTGAATGGCACAGCAAGCTCAAAGGGCCGAATGGACTATTCTTGTTCCTATTCATGTTTCCGTTTAAAGAAAAGTCAGAAGCTTTAAGAAACCAGACAGGGGAGAGAGGACACCGAAAGAAGCACACAATGTGTGGAGGAAAAGCTGCCTATCAATTATTCCATCCGCAAATTAAATTCAAAAAGATTTCCTGTTTCAACTTGTGCATTTCAAATGCATGCTCGTTCTCTTAAAAAATTAAAAATCCATGCTATTGGCAGATCTTAAGAAAGCCAATTTAGAATCCCAGCTGTGGAATTAGCCAGAGTGTGCTTCTTCAATATCATCCCTTCAGCCAAAGCTCCTGGGGCATCCAAACCGCATTGATTTTCATAACACATTCACTTGATCTGGAGCATTAAATCAAAGAGAAGTTGAAGAGATTAAAGAGCTCCGAGAGATGGGCTAGTTGTTCTTTCTTTCTCTCTCTCTCTCTCTCTCTCTGCGGTTTTGTCCATTGTACAGTCTGTACCTGGGATTGCAGAGTCCAATCTCTGAAATTGAAAGATAACCTAGACATCACTGTAACAAACAAACATCTGACTTCACAACCTTCCTTTACAAAAAGCTACCATTTAGATTGACTATGACACTAATACACAAATGTCCACTCCACAGTGGAAGAGATTGTCAGCACAGGGCTAACTCACATCAAAGATAAAGTCCAATCTCCCTCCATCAGTAGAAGAATCAATGATCCTCATCATCAGGGGCCAAGGTGAATTGTCATGAATTTGTCAGAGTTTTGAGATTGTGGGGTTCCATTTTATTCTTAATTATTCATTCATACAGTCATAAAGTTGTACAGCACAGAAACAGACCCTTTGGTCCAACTCATCCATGCTGACCAGATCTCCTAGATAAATCTAGCCTCATTTTCCAGCATTCAGCCCATATCCCTCTAAACCCTTCCTATTCACGTACCCATCCAGGTGCTTTTTAAGTGTTGTAATTGTACCAGCCTCCACCACTTCCTCTGGCAGCTCATTCCATACACGCACCACCCTCTGTGAAAAAAGTTGTCACTCAGGGACCTTTGAAATCTTTCCCCTCTCGCCTTAAACCTATGCCCCTCTAGTTTTGGATTCCCCTATCCTGGGGAAAAGCACTTTTCATGCCGCCTCCCATAATTTTATAAACCTCTGTAAGGTCACCCCTCAGCCTCCAACGCTCCAGGGAAAAGATCACCAGCAATCCCTCAGTAGGCTGGGGTTAACGCAAAGGACCTGTGACAAGTTTATGAATGGATTTGAATTGTGAGGATTTGAATAGAAGGAAAACATCAGAATCCAAACAGGACGGTCTCTTTCCAGCCTGATCCCTGTCCTTTGCCTATTTGGTTGCAAGAGCCCCGAGTAAAATGGAGGAATGCCATTCAGTCCATCCAGCCTGTACTGTTATTCATTTACATCACAGTTGGATCCACATCCTATCTCCATTGACCCACAAGCACAAAAAAAAAAGGCCTAGCGATCTCTGAATCCTTACGGTGCCAATAGAGATCATTTGGCCCATCGGGCCGCCCCTTCAACCTTCGTTTCTCTGAATGTCCGTTCTGGCTGAGACTCCAGGTAGAGCAAAATGGTTAATGACCGTGGGCCACAGGAGCAGAAGTAGGCCATTCAACCCATTGAATCTGCAATTAAAGAGGAGCTGAGAGTGCCGCAAATACACAGCGGGATGCAAGGAACAGCCGAAAAAGACAGCCAGGGTTCTGTGCAAAACTACAATGAGGGTCGAAAGGCTGTTGCTTGTGGAGTACTGTCTTCAGTTTTGTGTATCGCAGTGAAGACTGGCAGGGAAACAGAGCAACTCAGTTTACAGCACGGCAAGAGTTGAAGAGTTAGATTGAGAGCTCAGCATGTTGACAAGGGTTTCGGAAGGTGATCGGGTGATCCGATTAAAAGATCCCGATGAAGCAGCACAGTGGCTGACAGCGCCAGGGTCCTGGGTTCGATTCCACCCTCGGGCGACTGTCTGTGTGGAGTTTGCACCTTCTCCCAGTGTCTGCGTGGGTTTCCTCCGGTTTCCTCCCACAGTCCAAAGATGCGCCGGGTTAGGGTGGATTGGCCGTGCTAAAATCGCAGGGTTACAGGGATAGAGGGGCAGATCTTGATGGGATGCTCTTCGAAGGGTCTGTGTGGATTCAACAGGCAAAATAGCCTGCTTCCGCACTGTAGGGATTCTATGATAATCACACGGATTGGATAAGGAAGACTTAGAGAACATTTCTGCTGCAGAATGAATCCAGGTAAAAAGAGAAGCCAATGGTTAACATTACAGTTGAGCTACTTCAGTGAAATCTTTAATGTCCAAAATACAACTCTCAAAATAGTGGAAATCCCTCAGACTCACTCTGGCAAAACAACTTGAACAGTTGAATGGAGACCTCATTTCTCGGAATTAAATGCATTAATTTATATAGTTGCGAGAAGTGGGCATTGCTGGCTGGGTCAGATTTTATGGCCCGTCCCTAGTTGCCATCGAGAAGGCAGCTCACCATCACCTTTTTGAACTGCTGCACAGGAGATTCACCAGAATGCTGCCTGGAATGGAGCATTTCATCCAGAGAGGCTGGATAAGCTCAATTTGTTTTCTCCCAAGCAGAGAAGGCTGAGGGGGAGAGAGTTTAATGAGGGCCATGGACAGGGTGAACAACAGGCAGCTGTCCCTCTTTGCTGAAGGGTCAATAACAAGGGGGCATCACTTTCCGATCGAGGGCAGGTGGTTTTGAGGGGATTGAAGGAAAACAATTTTCACCCAAGAGGGTGGTGGGAGTCTGGAAGGCACTGCATGGAGGTGCGCAGATGAAACAGAACATGCAAGGCTGTGGGCCAAGTGCTGGAAACTGGGTTAAGTGTAGATAGGTCAGAGTAGAGTCGATGGACCAAGGAAGCGCTTCTGGGTTTCATAACTCCATGCGCTGTGGGTTGGCCCACAATGTTGTGAGGGAGGGGATTCCAAGACCTTGACCCAGGAACGGCCGATATATTTCCAAGTCAAGGGAGTGAGTGGCTTGGACGGGAACCTGCAGGGGGCAGCGTTCCCATGTATCTGCTACTCCTGTCCTTCTGGATGGAAGTGGTTGTGGGTTCAGATGATGCTATCCAAGGACCTCAGATGAATTTCTGCAGTGCATGCTAGGAGAAAAAAGGGCAAGTAAATGCGATCAAAGTGCAGATCAACCTCGATCAAACAGAAATGACAAGGTGACCGACAAAGACCTCTTCTGGAGTACTGTGTCCGGCTCTGGTCGCCCTTTTATAGGAAGGATATTTATAAACTGGAGAGGGCTCAGAAAAGATTTAGCAGGATGCTGCCAGGAATGGAGGGTTTTCTCACTGAAGCGTACGAGGTTGAGGGGTGACCTAAAATGTTTACAAAATCATGAAGGGTACAGATAAGGAAAATGGCAAATGTCTTTCCCTAGGGTGGGAGAACTTCAAGACTGCCGGGCATATTTTTAAGGTGAGAGGAGAAAGATTTTTAAAAAAAATCAAGCGAGGGGCAATTTTTTATTAACACAGAGAGTGGTTTGTGTGCGACATGAACTTCTGGGGAAGTGGTGAATGCAGGTACAGTTATAACATTTAAGAGACATTTAGGTAAGTACATAAATAAGAAATGTTTGGAGGGATATGGGCCGAGCACAGGCACGTGGGACTGTTTTAGTTTGGGAACATGGACCGGTTGGACCGAAGGGTCAGTTTCTGTGCTGTGTGACCCAGTGACTGAATGGTCTCCCTGAATCCTAAAAGCAAGGACAATATTTGGACCCCCATCCTTCGCTTACTCGCGACTCCTACACTACAATATCATTCAGGGTGGTCCCTGGTGAATTCAATTAATAATAAAACGACATTACAAAATACAGCTTGCCGATCATATTGCAGTTCCCGTGGACTTCCCGCTTCGGAGAATCTACTATTCACTGCAATTAATTTCACGCATTACCTCACTCCAGCGAGATCAAACACAAAGCTGACTTAAAAAAAAAAACACCATCAGAACAAAACAGGGGAAGGAATTCTGAAGGGAGTACATAAACCCATGTAGCTGAATCTCTGGGCGGCAGAAGAACAAAAGCATCATTTGCACCGATCTCAGACACCTCACTGCTTTGGGGTCACGGGAACGTGGCAAATTGGTGCACAATCTTACCTGCTCTTATGAAGGCAAAATACTGCGGATGCTGGAAATCTGAAACAAACAGAAGGCTGGAGGAACTCAGCAGGTCTGGCAGGAGAGAGAAACAGGAGTTATTCAGAACTGAATACTCCTTGTGGAGAACACGGATTGGACTCAAAACACGAACTCTGTTTATCGATCTGCGCAGCCTGATTTTCTCCAGCATTCCCGGTGCTCCTTTACAGTACTCGTGCTTTTCAGTGAAGAGCATGACATTTTCCTCAACAACTGAAACATTTGTTCATTTCGGGTACAACTTTAAAATTAGTGAACGTTGCCAATGGGCCGCGCGAGGTATTATAGACAAGTATTATTATTCTGCAAGAATATTCCACAGTCATAATATTCCCAATAGCGAACAGACAACAAAACTTGAACATTATGAGAACGGTCTTGTGCGCTTTCGCTCATACTCACCCTGATCCAGACAGAGAGTCGGAAAAGACTGGCCATCCCAGACATTCTAAAGGAAGATGAGGAAATAACAAAAGCAAATTAATTGGCAGGACAAAGAATCGACCCCACTCCTCCGTCAAAACTCTTGCTTCAGGGCAGGGCAATAGCATTGAAATGGATCAGGACAGCCACTAGGGGCTGAATGGCCTCCCTCTGTGGTATTTTATACTAATCCAAGAGGGGCTGAGGTGATGGAGACCCTCTGCCAAAAAGTGGGTGGGTGGGTGGGTGGGGGGAAGAGAAGGAGAAAGTCGGCAGGGCAGGGGGGAGAGAAGGAGAAAAAAAAAAGTTGGGGTGGGGGGGGGGAAAGGAAGGAGAAGGGAGATAGTGGAGGGAGGGGGAAAATAGGGACTTGCCTCGATTCAATTGTCAAGCCTGCACTGCCTCAGGGTTTCACAGAGCTCCCGACAAACTTGGAGGTATCGTCACTGCTCTGGTGCAGAAGGCATTGCAGCCAATTAGCACAGAGCACACAGGCCATCAGGCAGCAAAAAGGACTTCGATATGGGAACCAGGTCTCATGGATAAGGCTCACATCTGTTGCCCTTGAGAAGGGTAATAGTGAGCCACACCACTTTAGTGAGCTGCTGCCTTGTTGGGAGACCAGGACTAACTTATAAATAAACACAACTATCGAGAGGGATGTTTGAGGAATTAAAGCATTAATTTATTAATTAGCTGGTGCTCAGGGTGACAGGGAAGAGGTACCGCCCGACTAATCCATCTTCAGGCTAGGAGCGCAGGGCCTTGGTTCAACAACTCCATCCAAATGTCAGCCCCTCCCTCTGACAGTGCCGCACACCCCCACCCCCCCCCCCGCGCTGCCGCTCCCCCCCCCCCCCCCGCAGCGCCACCCCCTCCCCACCTGCAGTGCTATGCCTCCCCTCCCCTCCTGCACTGTACCCATGAGTTTTGTGGCCCAGTCACCGGAGCGAGGGGCTCAAACCCGCGAAACACCTCGTACGGAGGCGAGCGCGCCTCCCGCTGAGCGAAACAGGCCGTCAGGGTCTTGTATCCAACCCCAGTCCTGCCTCACCTCCCCCCCACCCCCCCAAATAAGACCTGACTCAAAGGGAGTGAGTAGGGAGTGGAGGAAACGCAATTCATGACGACTAAGGGTTAAAATGTACATTTCTTTGGAAGTAACGCAGTGTATCTCTGACTCATCGGTATTAGCATCAAGCAGGCTGCCAGCGTCAAGTACTTATTTCTACCAGAAAGAAATGTAGTCATTACACGACAGAAGATGGAGATTTCCACCCGCTAATCGATTCGACTGCCTCCCACTTCTTCTCCTTAATGAAACTCTGGAAATCCTCCAGCATCCTCGCTCCGTGATATTTCCGAAAAACACCTTCTTTGGCACTGACAGGGGGGAAACAATGACATATAGGGTGGTGTTGAATCCTGAAGCTCAGTCAATTAAAAAAGAAAACACACAGTCGAGCAAGTTACAGACACATAGAAATTCACAAATAAAAGTGCGGGGAGGCTCGAAGTGCAGCAGGTCATTTTAGCACAACTGAGTGAAATGATAAATAATGGGGAGTTAGCAATAGGAATGCTAACACTGCATTGACCCAGCTGTCTGTCTCGTGCTTCAGGAAGGTGCGGAGACATGAACTCTGCGTTGCTCCTGGCATCTTGGACCAACAAACACAATAAGATTTGACCATTTTATCCTCAAGGTTCCAGGATTGGGGAGCACTGGTAACTCACTCACCATGACAACTGGCACAAAGATGTGCCTCAACTTTTTAACTGCTCTCGCTGAAAAACAGAGGGAAAACACTGCACCCTTCAGCTAGATCTTTTGCAAATCACAGCAACGGCATTTTACGTCATCTCTCTAATTCATTCAGGTGATCGCTGGCTGGGCTGGCATTCGATGCCCATCTCTCCTTGCCCCTCGAGAAGGTGGTGGTGAGCTGCCTTCTTGAACCGCTGCAGTCCACCCGCTGCGGGTTGGCCCACGATGCCGTTAGGGAGGGAATTCCAGGATTTTGACCCAGCGACAGTCCAAGGAACGATGATACATTTCCAAGTCGGGATGTTGGAAGGGAACTTGGAGGTGGTGGTGTTCTCATATGTCTGCTGTCCTTGTCCTTCTAGGTGGAAGTGGTTGTGGGTTTGGAAGGTGCTAAGGAGCCTTGGCCACTGACTATAGACTATAAAAGGGACACACGCAGAGCTGGTGGGAAGACAGGGCATTCCTATGGGGGGGGGGGGGGGGGGCGGTGTCAAATAATAAGAACCTCACTGCAGATGTTTTTGAATCGACCTATTGAAAAGATATTACCATGGAGCGGGTGGGACTTGAACCCAGGCCTCCCACCTCAGGTGGGGGACACTACCACCATGCCAGGAGAACGTTAGGAATTTTACTGTATTCTTACGCAACAAACACAAGGCCACAGAGCTGAAAGGGATCGGTTTAGCAAAGGGATGTTTCAAAATACCGAGATCGAGGGAAACAATCCGAGAGAAAACGCGAAGACCAGTGTAAAATCTGCTCGAGCAAACGCAGTTTTCATCCCCCGCGCAGGAACGAAGAGACAACAGGGCAGCTACGATAGTAATCAATGTGTACTTACTGGTAAATGGTTGGCAGGGTGGTGACAAAGAAACGGCCACTCAAACCTGATTTGGAGGAGAAAGAAAGTGTAAGACTGTCGCGCAACTTCAACACCAGGCCTTAACGATTATTCAGACCAGAGAAGGCAACACTGAGGTTCCTTTACGGGTACACGTTCCACCCTGTGGACCCCTCTACAAGATGTGAGATGGGTGCTTATATTTTCAAGCAACGTGAGCAGCGTCTGAATGCTAAAACACGACCAGCTCGATAGCAAGTACTTTTGCAATCCAGTCCCGGTCCTCATCCAGAACTACAGCACACTGCGTCTTCAGTGCAAAGTTCACATGACACGAGTCAAGGTACATTTACAAAAAAAGTAAACGCTCTGGCATTGCAGCTCAAATCAAAGGGATACAATCATAGCAGCACCGTATGACAGCGTTCCAGTTAAGATTCAAACAGCAAGGCAGCTCATGTCACAGGAATAATTCCGGTGAAAACTTCCTATAAGACCATAAGACATGGGAGCAGAAATTAGGCCATTCGGCCCATCGAGTCTGCTCCGCCATTCAATCACGGCTGATAAGTTCCTCATTCCCATTCTCCTGCTTTCTCCCCGTAACCCTTGTTAATCAAGAACCTATCTATCTCAGTCTTAAATGTACTCAATGACCCAGCCTCCACAGCCTTCTGTGGCAGATTCACCACCCTCTGGCTCAAGAAGTTTCTCCTCATCTCCTGCTTTGGAGGCTTTGACCGAGGCTGCCTGGCATCCAGAAGACTAGGTGGCGTACATGTACAGAGCTGCTGGGAATCAGCTGAGACTCCAGGTACTAAATTGAAAAGAAACCGAAAAAAAAAACACGACAAATGCTGGAAATCAGAAACAAATACAGAAATTGTTGGAAAGGCTCAGCTGGTCCGGCAGCATCCGTGGAAAGAAATCAGAGTTAGCGTTTCACATCCGCCGTTCTGAGGAAGGGCGACTGGACCCCGAAATGTTAACTCTGATTTCTTTCACTGATGCTGCCAGACCTGCCGAGTTCTTCCAGCAACTTCTGGCTTTGGTCGGGACTTCAGGTATACTGGTAAAAGCCACTGCAGTAGTTGTAGCTTCAACTAAACCCCTGAATCAACTATCCTGATGCGACTGAAGACCGCTTCCCCAAAGTGGGACACTTTCGAACAATCAAACACCATGGCAGCACACTTTTGAGTCTCTTTTAGACTTGGACGGTAAGCACCGTGATGTCAGCAGCACAGGAAAGGGACAACTGAAGGAAATAACAGCCTATTCTCTGGCGAGAGTCTCTGGTCAACACACTGTTGTTACCACCGTAGAGTCATACAGCACGGAAACAGACCCTTCGGTCCAACTCGTCCATGCCCACCAGATACCCTAAATTAATCTTGTCCCATTTGCCAGCATTTGCCCCATATCCGTCTAAACCCTTCCTATTCATATACCCATCCAGATGCCTTTTAAATGTTGTAATTGTACCAGCCTCCACCACTTCCTCTGGCAGCTCCTTCCATATACGCACCACCCTGTGTCAAAAACTTGCCCCTTAGGTCCCTTTTAAATCTTTCCTCTCTCACCTTAAACCTACGCCCTCTAGTTTTGGACTCCCTTCCCCTGGGGAAAAGACCTTGGCTATTCACTCTATCCACGCAGCAGTGTACCTCCTCCTACACACCAATATTTTATTTCTAAGCAGCATCTTTGTTCACGAGCATGAAAGGCATGTTCCTCAAAGATGCAAAATCCAAGTTTAAAAGATGCGAGCGTTTCCGCCACACACTCTCTTCAAAAGGCTGATTATTAGTTTCGGATCTTCACCATAAAAGCCTACAGATGGCTTTCTCAAACCTCTCGTTGAGCAGGAAACCGCTGGGATACTTTATCCTCTGCAATTAGGGCTGTTTGCTCTTTAATTACTGAGCTCTGAGGTCAAGAAAATTATCATGAAACCAAGCAGATTAGCTCACTTCCTAAAACGGGAAGCCACATTCTGAGGATGTGGACATCACTGGCTGGGTCAGCGTTTATTTTCCCTGTCCCCTGCTCACAGTAGTGAGCTGCTACAGCGCATGTGGCTCAGGAACACTCAGAATGTTGCTCAAGGTCCCACCAACAGTGAACGAGCTGTGCTGATATGTATCTGACAAACATCCCCAGTGGGTGTCACGCTGCCAGGCCCAGATATCCTGAAAACTAACAGGTGACAAGACCATTCCCATCAGCTATTGGATGCAATGGATCCTAACATTGGGAGAAATGTCATTAACATCTTAACTTTCCCGTGGGACAAGGGTGTCATGGGAAAGGTCAGCGTTTATTGTCCACCCCTAATCATCAGGTGCCCTGCTGGGGTCATTTCCAGAAGGCAGTTCAGAGGCCACCCTATGGCTCTGGGTCTGGAGTCACACATAGGCCAGACCAGGTAAAGATGGTAGATTTTCTTCCCTAAAGGACATGGGCTTTCCCCAACAATTATAGTCGTCGGTTGTCATGGGGAGGTCCCACTTTCAGTCCCAGAATTTATTAATTTGAATTTAAATTTCTGGAGCCACCTTGGTGACTGGTGAAATCCTCTCTCAAGGACACAATCCCCGAAGGAGAAAGCAACAATAGAACCGGTAAGTGAGACATACCATGAGACTAGCCCTCACTCTTATCGTCTTGTTCAAACAAAGGAGGAGTGAGTCTTTCAGCATACTGAACCTGATCTACTACTTAAGGAGATAAATATCTCCTTTATTAACAGTGGTACGGTGGCTCAGTGGTTAGCAGTGCTAACTCACAATGTCAGGGACCTGGGTTCGATTCCAGCCTCGGGCGACTGTCCGTGTGGAGCTTGCACATTCTCCCCGGGTCTGCGTAGGTTTCCTCCGGGTGCTCTGGTTTCCTCCCACAGTTCAAAGATGTGTTGGTTCGGGTGGATTGGCCATGCTAAATTATCCTTAGTGCCCAGGGATGTGCAGGCTAGGTGGGTTAGCCATGGGAAATGTAGGGTTACAGGGATGGGATAGGATAGGGGGTGGGTCTGGGTGGGATGCCCTTCAGAGGGTCGGTGTGGACTCGATGGGCTGAATGACCTGCTGTAGGGATTCTACAAAATTATAGTCCTTCGGGATCAAAAGAATGTGGGGAGAAAGCGGGAAACAGCTGGATCATGCAGCAGGCTCAAAGGGCTGAATGGCCTACTCCTGTTCTCTGTCTAACACAATCATGGCTCATCGCACACTTCAATATCTTTTGCCCACAATATTACCCCCTTGATATACGTCAAAAGGGAGCTCCAGTATGACCAGTACATTGACTGGAGGGGAAAACCAGTAAAACCTCCGGGTCTAGTTTATTCGGCCAATGTCATCATCACCATCACAAGACAACAAGGTGCAGGGCTGGATGAACACAGCAGGCCAAGCAGCATCATAGGAGCAGAGAGGCTGACGTTTCGGGCCTAGACCCTCATCATCACCATAATTTACTTCCCACAAAGAGGCTACCGGATTTTAACAGGGAATACAGCTTATTAAGCAATTTCTCAGCTGTGAAGCTTCTGGAGGGTATGATGAAGTGCAATATAAATCCATGCTCTTTGCAGAACAGATCCGCTGCACAAAGACTTCTGATTGTTGAGAATGAACCAAACATGGAAGCAAAACCCTCTTTAAAAGTTTCAATGCAGCTTTAGCTTATTTAAGCCAATATCAAAAACAAGAACAAATTGATCCTGAGTATATATTTTGTACTGATTGATCTGAAATAAAACACAGAACCAGTTTGTTGACACAGGAAAAAGACTGCGATATAACGTCCTGATAATCTAAATGGCATCCAAATACTTTGAAAGATCATTTCTCTGAATCGTTACAATCCGCTACTTCACTATTTCAGATACAGGTCGATTAATACAGTTCACTAAACAGCACGTCCAGAGTTCAAAACCTGCTTTTCCATAGCGCCTATCATGCCCGCCCAAAGTGTTTCAGAGCTATTTAAAATTCAAGCACTTGTGAAACTGTAACCACAGCTATAGAACAAGAAACACACACCACCACGAGATCAAGTCATAGAGGTCCACAGCATGGAAACAGGCCCTTCAGCCCAACTTATCCATGCCACCCTGTGATAATCACATGAGAATGACCAGCTCAGTTGCCCAGGCGGCTGGTTTGTGATGTGAAGCGCTTGCCAGCAGCACGGGTTCAATTCTCACACCCAACCTCAACCGAGTGCTGCAGACTGGCACATGCTAAGGCCCAGGACTATGTGCTGAGGGACGCACTAAAGCTTGGGGCAGCTGATGCCAAGGTGCAGTGGAGAAGGACCACAGTCTGAGGTCTTTCTGCTGAAGGTAAATGGGGGTCCGTTCAGTTTATCGGAACCTCCTGGTGCCTCAAATGCATGCAGATATAGTCTGGGTCAAGTAAGAGATGCCTTTGGTTTGTTTGTTGTTATGAGTCAAACTCCAATGTTTGTTTCCTTCGTATGTTACTGTACAGAACCAAGTTGTTTTAGTGACTGTGTACGTGTATTTATGAATAAAGTATATTTTTGAAATACAAACTACAATAAAAAAAAAACGCCGAGGTTACTACGGAGTATTCTCCTACTCCACCTCTTCCCTCGACTGAGGCATGGTGACCCTCAGGTTAAGCTCGCTGCCAGTTGGGGACTTTTTTCACTGGAGCATAGCAGGTTGAGGCGACCTTACAGAAGTTTATAAAATAATGAGGGACATAGATAGGGTTAATGGTAGTTGTCTTTTCCCTTGGATGTGGGATTTCAAGACTAGGAGACACATTTTTAGGGCAAGAGGAGAAAGATTTAAAAAATACATGAGGGCAAATTTTTTTTTTTTTTTTTTTTGAAAAACATTGAGGGTGGTTCATGTATGGAATGAACTTCCAGAGGAAGTGGTGGATGTGGGTACAGTTACAATGTTTAAAAGACATTTGGATAAGTTCACGAATGGGAAAGGTTTGGAGGGATATGGGCCAGGAGCAGGCAGGTGGGACTAGTTTAGTTTGAGATATCTTCGGCATGGACTGGTTG